TCCAGACCTTATGAAAATCACTCAAAATCACCCTGGATAGACCCGTCTCCGATTTTTCCAAAATTTGTCAAAAATAAATCTACCACACCTGACATTCATAGAAAAATTGGAAACTTGCCCGAATCACTTCATTAAAGCCCCCCCCCCCCATTTCATCTTTAAAGATGGCCAAAGAGCACACCTGTGAACAGGATTTGGAGAGAAGGGGGGTGGGTGGAGAGAGTTTTTGCTCTATTTCTACCTTACTAATAACACAATAACTCTTCCAGCACTTTACACTCACTACAAATGACCAAACACACCTCCTGATCACTACAAGAAAGAAAAATTTTTTTCCTCCCTATCTTGTCAAAATTGAAGAAAACTGCCATATCCGGACCTCATAAAAATCACTCAAAATCACCCAGGATCGACCCGTCTCCGATTTTTCCAAAATTTGTCAAAAATAAATCTACCACACCTGTCATTTATAAAAAAATTGGATACGCGCCCAGATCACTTCATAAAAGCCCCCAATTTCAGCTTTAAAGATGGCCAAAGAGCACACCTGAGAACAGGATTTGGAGAGAGGGGGGTGGAGAGAGTTTTTGCTCTATTTCTTCCTTAATAATGACACAACCACTCTTCCAGCACTTTACACTCACTACAAATGACCAAACACACCTATCGATCACTATAATGAAGAAAATAATTCTTCCCTGTTTGGCCAAAATAGAAGAAAACTGCTTGTTAGTTTCTTGGATTCGTGAAGATGCTACCAGTATACACAAAATCTGTTTTGTCTTACCCATGATCTGTACAAATCTGTTCAATAAACCCTTTCTTTCGCCCTATTCCAATAGACGCATGCCTCTGTGTATTAGCTGACGCACTATCCGCCAATCAAAATTTGGAACTTGGAAGGCTGGTAGAAAATGTCTTTTCCATCTGTTAAAAACAAAAACATCCCATTTCTGAACTAAAATTGATGCGAGTTAACTTTAAACTTATAAACATTTTTTTTAAAAATCACTCTATTCATTTTTTATTATTTTTGGCTTAATCGCTAGGGTATATCAACCTTTTGGCAAAATTGCAGTCTATAATGAAATTAGTTTTGTATTCTGAATTCCTGTTTGTACGGCAACAAGTGATTTTCACCATGTAGTTTTCATCTTCGTGAACTAAACAATTTTAGAGATCGTAAATACTGCAAAACAACATGTACTTAGCTTTAACGAGTTCTTTCGGTATTACTAAAAGTAGTCTTTATTAAATTATCGTGTCATTCAGGATTGCCCACCACTGTTACCTTCAGCAGGTATTTTAAACCAGCTGTCTCTTGGTCAGTTTATACAGTATATACATTTATTTTCTTTAAATCTTCATTTATTACATATGTTTCGAGTTTGTAATTTATAACTTAGCCAGACACATAGTTTTTCTAACGAGAACCAATGTTTAATGTTCAGAAGAGAATATCAAAGCGGTTTATATTTCAATGTTGTGGTTGTATTATTAGATTTACTAGTATGTAGAACCCATAGTCTCTATTTGGAATAGAAAGACTCTCTATACAGTATAAATAGGGTTATAACACCGCTATTCAAAGAGAGACTCAAGGCACACTCCACACATTCAAAAGACACTTTCATACACAAACTAGACGCGCTGAGACAATGAAACACTACATAAGTATACCAGAGTTTATGCATCTCAAGAAAGTAAGGCTGATTGAGAACCAAAATGTGTCTTTGTCAATCATTCAACCGCCTGACAAATATATCGATTGTGATCAAAACTTCTACTGAAGGTCAAAACTTAGCAGTGCCGAGCACTGACGCCACCAAACTCATTGTCTCCGTGACAGAGACTGAAATCGAGAAGATAACATGTTAATAGCAAATCTGCATCGGCCAAAGGAGAAATCCAACTTTTAAAATACTCATCGCGTATAATGCAAATATTATTAGATCCTGAAAGCACGGGTTACATTGGTAAAGCAAGGACACAGCTCTGCGTGATGACGTCACCGGAGGGCACCTGTTTTACAATAAATTAATTAAGAAGCAAATGGTAATCAGCAGCAGGCCTCCGAAACATGAACATGGGATTCTACGTGCCAAAGAGTTATCTGGAAAAATTTATAGTTTTCTTGCGACTTGCACTAGTAATACATCAGGTACAAAGCAATGTTCATTACACACATTTTGCCGCCACAAAAGACTTCATCTTACCATTCTCTGTCTGGAAGACGGTGACGGCGGGAAGCGCTATCGGCTGTGTTGTAAAATGTGCAAACTTGGAAACATGTGTATCTTGTAATTACTACGAAAATGCACCTACAATGTAGTAAACAAGGTAAGGTGTTTAGTTTTCTCAAATAAACTGTTGCTGTTATATAATCGAAAGGCATTGGACATTGTGACATTAATACTGTAGTTACATTGTACTGTCATATAATGGGAATATATTCACTATTGTGACAACCGTTGCTGTTGTATTATGGGAACCCATTGAACATTGTGAAATCAATGTTAACTGTTGTATAATGGGAATACATTTAATATTGTTACATCAGCTGCTGCTGTTCATTAGCTTGATCATATATATCAAACGCATACAACATTAATTTTCAGTTCCCAGGCTTCACTGTACAAACCAGCGTAAAAAGTAAAAAAGTGAAACTGGAATAAAAAAATCAAAAACTGCACGTTAATTTTCGTATTGCCGTAAAATTTCGGAGTCTAAAAAATGTTTGTAATATTTGTAGATTTGTGATTTTATTGATTTTAAGTCTTAAACTAATTTAATTTAACTAAATTAATGCAAAACAATGCAGGAGACAAGGTATATTATGTACATGACCCGGCGATTTTTTCAGACTTTATACTTCATTTATTTGATAAATGCACTTGCAATTTACTCTGGCTCTTCGTCTGATATGTCACCGGGTCATGCATAAATACCCGGCACACCATTCGTTAAAAAGGTTGTTCCACCTCCAGTTCCAAGTGCTTTTATTTACAAATGGTCACCTCGTATATGTATAACTGTTATTAACAGTGTTTGTTATACATGTACAGATATCATATCGTACTTGAATTATGGTGCGGAAATACAAAATACCGTTTACGATATCCATTTTAAAACGATTTATCAATATAACATGTACCCCCCTCTCTATGTTGATGTTCCAATGTGATTTCCCAAGAGGTAAAAAATGTCCATTAAATCGAAAAGACCCTACCAAATGTCACCAAATTTACACACAATTAGCATCAGCAATGTCACCTACCTCATAGCGTTTGTTCCTCCGCGTACTACAAATACATGAATCTCCTTTGGGCCACGCATGACTTGCAGAATCAAATTGTCAGTAGCTTTAAATCAATGTACACGTAAACCAAAACCAAAATCTCGATATTCGGAAAACCTACATGGGATACAAATAGGCATCGGCTATAGCTTCCGTCCATTATATTTATAGGGGACTGTGAGCTGAATTACCGAAAGGCACTCGATCGTGTCACACTATTACAATATGAAGGCGGTGCGTACTTTACGTATAACAGGTAGGTAAACCTGTGCAGCAGTTTCAAAGACAGATACCACTCCCTAACGGAAAACAATGCCTTTCTTTTGAAAATGTCAAATCTTTAGAGTAGATACATGTGTTGCAGTATTCCTTACGCACTTGTATTATTGCGAGGCATAAAACCGAGTTATTCAATTGCTAGATATACAGAACGCAGACTTTTCTTCAAGATGTTTGTAAGAATTTTATATTGTAAAATAACTTTTTTTTATCCTGGGAATTTTAAGAATTTTGCCTTATTTGCCGGGGTATACATGTATCATACTGTTGAGAAAATTGCGATCTACACGTATATCGGAATAAGTTTTGAATTGTGAATTCCTGTTTGTACACTGTATGGCAACGAGCGACATTCACCAGTCTCCATCTTTGTGAACTAAAAAATGGTTTTAAAGATCGTAATTTAGTCAATGGGTTTTAATACGAAGTACCTTGGTGATAAAGGGAAAGTGATGAAAATTACAGAATTTTTCTTTGCTAAATAAAGTCTCAACCTGAATTGAATGTATTTAAAAATACATTATTTTGCAGGTGGAAAAGGATTGCAATGATCTTGGTAGGTACCAGGGGCTGTATGGTCGTGATAAATTTGAATTCGTTTTTTTTTTTTTTTTTATTTTTGAACACACCATAAATGGTAGAGTGTAAAAGCTGTAAGTAAAGTAAGGATAGAGAGTTTAAAGATGCATATGAAGTCAATTTATTTGCCTCAAAAACCAACCAAATGCCAGCATATACACACACTGGGCAATAGAAGTGTCACCCCCTGAATCAGAGTAATCAAAGTTATAATGCCTGGTCTACTTATAATGTGACTAATGAGTATAAAACCGCTGTACCATGGAATTGTATTGTTGTTTTTTTTTGTGAAATTTGATGTTAGTAAAATGATACCAGGAGCTTATCATTCCACAGTCATTTATCTCCCCCAAAGTATTGGTTCAGTAGGGGTGACACTTCTATTGTCCAGTGTGTGTAGTTTCGAATAGTATAACTAAGAGAATTACCAAAAGGCACTTTTAATATTACCTGTAAAATTATGGATTTTTCTGCTAGCTTTGTTTGCTGTATATACATGGGACAGTAAGTGGGTCACATAAGTAGGTTAGATTTCTGACCAAGAATTTAAAGAAAGGAGCAGTCTAAAGCTATTTTATGGCTGATTGAGTGATTCATTCAATTTATACCTTGGTATGTCGACCTTATTTGAGTCATATAAGAAACGAGTAGAAGTGGTTTATATGCGAATCCCCGCTCCACCGATGGTCAGTTCAAATGTAACTTTAAACGCCCTTTTGAACGAAATTATCGTGCCTTTCCAGAGGGTTCAGGTTTAGCGTCCATTGATATAGATGGCTTTGGTCAAAAAGAAGTTTATTGCGACGACGGATGGATTGTTGTGATGAGTCGATACAACAGCACCATGTCTTTCCACAGAAATTGGAATGCATATAAAGTTGGGTTTGGTGACCCACGTGAGCAGTTTTGGCTTGGAAACGATGCTCTCTACGCATTAACCAATCAAGGGGATTACTCAATGCAGATTGACATGCTGTCTTGTGATGGAAACACCTACTACGTCAGATGGAACCTGTTTCGCATCCAAGATGAAAGCCAGAAATATAAGGTTGCTGCTATTAGTGTCGACTCGTACAACACATCTAGCAATAGTTATCTAACAGAAAATGTAAACTGGAAATTTGGAACTTATGATAATGAAGTAGGAGAGTCACTGGATTGTAGTGAGCTGCACGGTATGATTCCATTGCACAATTAGCTGAAGTAATACTTACATTAGCTTAAGTAGTATTTCTAGTTAATACTAACCACGATGATTTTTAATTATTTATTTATTTATTTATTTATTTATTTATTTATTGTACCAAGTGTATCAAGTCTCACGTCAATTACATGTAGTCTATTGTTTCTTTTTTTCCTTTTTTTTTTATACCAGATTATTTATTTTTATTACTTATGGATTTTAAATGCCCTTCCGCAGTTATTTGGTTAGCCACAAAGTTAATGTAAATCTGTAATTTAACGTGCTTCATATTGCTTAATTTGGAAAAAAAATGGGCCACTGTTGAGATGACTGAAAAAAGATAAATGATACAACATGTTGCTTACTACATGTATTTCAGGCGGTGGTGGGTGGTGGTATTGGGACTGTACGAGATGGCATTTAACAGGCTATTACTCCAGCTGTGTCAGCAACAGCGACAAGCGTAAAGCCATGAAGTTTGCCTCTATTACAGGGAGAAACTGCAACAAAGCATGCTTATTACAGGCTGCTACTTTAAAAATACAGCGTAACTCTTAGAGCTCTTTTAATGATAATTGTAATATTAAACGCCTTTCTACAACACAACGGCCTTCAAAATATCTGAGTGTATGAATGAAGGAATATGTTTTAGATTACTTAGAAATTAACATTTAAGAAAGTGGTTTATTTCAAGTACGTTGAATAGTACATCACAATCATCTGATACTATCCATGTAAGGGTCCACCCACAACTTATCAAGATATGAGTATTATATATCTCCAAATAGACAAATAAACTGGTGATCTACAGGTCCATAAGGACCTATTTTTACATCTTTTTAAAAATATATTAAAATATTATCTTAATGTTACTGTGTAAATGTAATGCAATGCTGTAGAGAATAAACATAATCCTTTGAAGATGTTGTAAAAGGTTTTGTTCTTCTTCGTACTTGGTACCATATGTACTGTCTCCGAAAGTTTGATACTATGAAATACCGTATTCTCCGCGAATACTATGAAATACATTGGTATATTGTTAACGCTGTCCATACTTAAAAGTTTTAAGCCTTTCAAACCAACCCGTGCCGTTCATTCGCTCTTTATTTACTCTACTAAACTTGGTGTCAACATCTACTCTCTAACGGCGGTTTCACTCGACTGCTCACTAACATGACAACTACTTATGCAGTAACATGGCTCTCCCAGAATATTCTTATATATATTTTAAACACACAAATCTTTATGAGATTACTTTCGACTATACATACCATTAAATATTCATTATATTAAAAAGCATTGGAACCTAATACTTGTCAACAAATTAGCATACAAATACTAATAGGGTATTTGCTATATTTCAGCATACATCTATAAGATTATTCATGACTATAGCTATAATTGAAAATTCCCAAAAGTTATGTGACATAAAGACATGCAAAATTCATAGTTTCCCAATAAACATTCTAAAATGATTGACATAACTTTCCTGGGAAACATTATTTATGACGTTAAGGTAACATAAACCTAACGTGCCCTCAATGTTCTTATAGCATTATTTTGTTAGCTGAGTAATACTTACTAAGCAAAGGAATCTTTTTCTGTACAAAATCCACTACATGTACTGGGTATTAACCATTGGCTGTTATAAGATCAAACTATAAATAGATATTTATATTATATCTCCCAAAATATTTGAGTTGCAAAATTTGACCTTGTTATAATGGCAATTCCAATTGACACGTAACCTTAAAGCTACATGACTATAACCTTTTCCACCAGAATCTAAAAAAAATTGGTAGCTACCTGGGGCATATACGCTGTTTATGTATCAAATAGCACAAATTCAAATTTTGATATAATAATAATAATAATAATAAAATACTGAAAATTAGAAGGAAAGTGAACTGTTTATGCACAAAATATCCAATATACTAAATACTTCATAGTAATAGCAGAAATCGCCAAATATCAAATGCTGGAAAAGCCACATTTGTATAAACATGCTCAAAGTTTCTATAATCCGTCCAATGAGAGCACTTACAAAATGTACATGTACATTCCTGGATGTTGATATGCTATTACCAGATGCCAAAAGATCTCAAAGAAAACGCAATTGCCCCAGTGTTACTCTGTACAGTCATTGTTCACACAGTTGCATTGGCAAAGTTGTAAACATTTGGTCTAGGTTTTTACATCACCAAATATCCACAGCATTACAAACTATTCATTTTCTTCTTGGTTGGAGCCACATTTAGTACGTAGTTGGTCAAAACTGTTTTGAATAACATTTTGATTTGTAATCTGAGGACCTAATTGGGACCAGTTGAAGTTTATCTTTGTCCCTTAGTGCACCGTTAATGGCATCTGTTCACATTTGTTTATCACGTGGTTTCTTGTCTCTGCTCTCTGCTGTAAAGCACCTCTGTGTTCAAACTCACGATTGATCCTAAAATACAGAAAAGGGGAAACAATAAAGGGAACCGGAGAAGATCAGCATTGGTCAGAATTGTGCCGGAAGTGACGTGCAGTGGTGTTAGAAACGAAGCTGAGTGGTCATTTTAACATAGAGGTGAACGGCAGTGAAGACGGGTTGTCGGAGGAAAAAGAAGTTTTCTAAACAACATGGTAAGATAACACTTTTTCTTTACGCATTTTGGGCAGAGAAAACTTGTAGAAATAATAAATGCATGATATGAAAACGTGACACGGAACTTGAAGGTGCAAAATCGTGCTTAATTGGCGGTCAACTTGTTTTAAAATGAATGCTGCATCGACCGCCATTGCGACAAAGAGTGTAAATGGAAAATAATTCCCGGGAGGCTGTAAATCGTTGCCATGTGGAAATTTGGCATTAATATAATCCGATATGTCCATATCTAAGTATTTTTGGG